TATTTCAGAGAAACAGACCAGACAAGAAAGGAGGAGGAGTGGCGTTATATGTCAGGGATGTGTATACCTGTGAAGAGATCCAAGATTTAGAACCTCAAAGCCAAAGTGAGAGCATTTGGGTCAAAATTAAGGGAGAGAAGAATTAACAGTGACCTCATTGTGGGAGTTTACTATAGATCCCCAAGCCAAACAGAGGACATAGATGATGCCTTCCTGGAATAGATGGCCAAGCATGCAAAAGGAAGGGAGATAGTAGTAATGGGGGACTTCAATTACCTGGATATTTGTTGGATGTCAAACTCAGCCAAGAGCATAAGGTCAAACAGATTCCTCACTGGCCTTGCAGACAACTTCGTTGTCCAGAAAGTGGGAGAAGCAACAAGAGGAACAGCCATTTTAGATCTGGTCCTAACCAATGTTGATGACCTGGTTAGTGGGGTAGAAGTGGAAGGATCATTAGGCGCAAGTGATCATGCTCTTCTGAAGTTTACTATACAGAGGAAAGGAGCAGCCAAGCATACTAGGACTCAATTTCTTGACTTTAAGAAAGCCGACTTCATAAAACTTAGGGAAGTGCTGGGTGAGATCCCATGGACAGTAATACTAAAAGGAAAGGGAGTTCATGATGGCTGGGAGTTTGTTAAGAGGGAGATAGTAAAAGCACAACTTCAGGCAGTACCAATGAGACGGAAACATGGAAGGTGCCTAAAGAAGCCAGGGTGGCTATCTAAAGAACTTTTAACTGAGTTAAGATTAAAAAAAGGATGTGTACAAAAAATGGAAAAGGGGGGAAACCACCAAAGAGGAATTCAAACAAATAGCCAGCACGTGTAGACACAAAGTCAGAAAAGCTAAAGCACAGAATGAACTCAGGCTTGCTAGAGAGGTTAAAAGCAACAAAAAGGCTTTTATGGGTATGTTCGTAGCAAAAGGAAGAACAAAGAAACAGTGGGGTCACTCAGAGGAGAAGATGGTGAAATGCAAACAGGGGACACAGAAAGGGCTGAACTCCTCAATGCCTTCTTTGCCTCAGTCTTCTCCGATAAAGAAAACAATGCCCGACCTGAAGAATTTGGAGCAAATGTTTCAGCGGAGGAAACACAGCCCAGAAGAACTAAGGAGATAGTACAAGAATACTTGGCTAGTTTAGATGTATTCAAGTCTCCAGGGCCAGATGAACTGCATCCAAGAGTATTCAAAGAACTGGCAGATGTGATCTCAGAACCACTGGCAGTCATCTTTGAGAATTCCTGGAGAACAGGCGAAGTCCCGGCAGACTGGAGGAGGGCAAATGTTGTCCCTATTTTCAAAAAGGGGGAAAGAGAGGACCCAAATAATTACCGCCCAGTCAGTCTGACATCAATACCAAGGAAGATTCTGGAGCAGATCATTAAGCAAACAGTCTGTGAGCACCTAGAAAGGAATGCTGTGATCACCAATAGTCAGCATGGATTTCTGAAAAATAAGTCATGTCAGACTAACCTGATCTCGTTTTTTGACAGAATTACAAGCCTGGTAGATGAAGGGAACGCAGTGGATGTAGCCTACCTTGATTTCAGCAAGGCATTTGACAAGGTGCCCCATGATATTCTTGTAAAGAAGCTGGTAAAATGCGGTCTTGACTATGCTACCACTTAGTGGATTTGTAACTGGCTGACTGACCAAACCCAAAGGGTGCTCATCAATGGTTCCTCTTCATCCTGGAGAAGAGTGACTAGTGGGGTGCCACAGGGTTCTGTCTTGGGCCCGGTCTTATTCAACATCTTTATCAACGACTTGGATGATGGACTCAAGGGCATCCTGATCAAATTTGCAGATGACACCAAACTGGGAGGGGTGGCTAACACCCCAGAGGACAGGATCACACTTCAAAATGACCTTGACAGATTAGAGAACTGGGCCAAAACAAACAAGATGAATTTTAACAGGGAGAAATGTAAAGTATTGCACTTGGGCAAAAAAGAATGAGAGGCACAAATACAAGATGGGTGACATCTGGCTTGAGAGCAGTACATGTGAAAAGGATCTAGGAGTCTTGGTTGACCACAAACTTGACATGAGCCAACAGTGTGACGCGGCAGCTAAAAGCCAATGCAATTCTGGGCTGCATCAATAGGAGTATAGCATCTAGATCAAGGGAAGTAATAGTGCCACTGTATTCTGCTCTGGTCAGACCTCACCTGGAGTACTGTGTCCAGTTCTGGGTACCGCAGTTCAAGTAGGACACTGACAAACTGGAACGTGTCCAGAGGAGGGCAACCAAAATGGTCAAAGGCCTGGAAACGATGCCTTATGAGGAACGGCTAAGGGAGCTGGGCATGTTTAGCCTGGAGAAGAGGAGGTTAAGGGGTGATATGATAGCCATGTTCAAATATATAAAAGGATGTCACATAGAGGAGGGAGAAAGGTTGTTTTCTGCTGCTCCAGAGAAGTGGACACGGAGCAATGGATCCAAACTACAAGAAAGAAGATTCCACCTAAACATTAGGAAGAACTTCCTGACAGTAAGAGCTGTTCGACAGTGGAATTTGCTGCCAAGGAGTGTGGTGGAGTCTCCTTCTTTGGAGGTCTTTAAGCAGAGGTTTGACAACCATATGTCAGGAGTGCTCTGATGGTGTTTCCTGCTTGGCAGGGGGTTGGACTCGATGGCCCTTGTGGTCTCTTCCAACTCTATGATTCTATGATTCTATGAGTTTACTCTGAAGAAAAGACACATGGGATTGCAGTCACACAGAACCTAATACAGTGGTCATTATGCTGTTTACCACTGTCTATAAAACAACGTCTGTGTTTTTTGTCTCTCTTTGGGGACTGTCATGATGAGCTCCTGCAGTTCTAAATTAACCACTGTTACCTCTGTTCAGAGAGAGTCTTCATACTAGACCATAACAATTTCATTTACTTAGCTCCATTTACAAATTTCTGCCTATGTGATATCTAGAAGCGATTTAAGAATAAAAACATCAACAATTAAAATATGCATAAATGAAACTTCCATGTTCAATGGCATTATATAGGATGCATGGGAGGAAGTCCTGTAGAACAGCTGTTACCTACAAGCCCTGGCTGTGAGCTTCCCATATCCATCTGGCCGGCCCTTTGTGGATGCAGAATTTAGACAAGTCTCCATCTGATCCAGCAAAATAGTTCATGCATTCCTTGGAAAAATGCAAACCTTATATAGGTGGTAATCTTCAGAGAGGTAGCCATGTTAGCATCTCGTAACTGATACAACAGAGGGAGTCTTGAGACAAATGAAAGACTGCAACATTTATTGCGAGAGAGCTTTCCTGGACTTTGGTCCACAGAGACATGCACCGTAATAAATTTGTCAGTCTAAAAGGTGTGTCATGGTACAGGTATTCTCCGAAAGCGTTGCTTTCCTGCGGTGCTTTGCGGCACTCAAATTTCACAGGTTGTTTAGTTAAGGGCTCCGATTTGAGAACTTGAAAAGAGCGAGAAAAAGAGAAAAGCTTTAGAAATCCCTTTTTTAATCCCAGTCAAGGTATATTACGATTGCAATGCTGAAACATGACATAAGTGTGCATGAATATAGTCGAAAGGCTCCAGGGCTCAGGTTGAGGGGGTATGTGTGGAATAGTAAATGACGATCTGGAAAGGAATGTACCTTATAAATCCCTGCGGGGGGAAATCACACTGGCAGGAGCTGGAGAAATTTGCTGCTTTGCATTTAGGGAAGAAATTGGAGAAACTATGTAAACAGAGAACAGAAGCGACACTTTCCGCCTTCCTTAATTCAAAAGTCATTGTCAGTAATAGCAACCGCATCACGAGGATGTAAAATAGGAATTGACCTAGCAGCTTTATAGAAGCAGAGTCTAACCTGGGTTGCGGCTAGTAGGAAGAATCAGCCAGTAAACGAGGAACTTTGCAGGAAATACGATTGTGATAATATATATTTGGGAGCCATGGGCGATGTCAGAAGTGAGGTAGCTTGCTTTGCATGAGACAGAGCAGCAGAGACTTACAGTGTCTGTATCACACTTGGTTTGTTTATGAATATTGTAAGCATAACATAGTGGAAGCAGATAGACTGCTGTAACAGGCAACACAACCGTTATACCTGCGTCAAATTGCCAAGTAGAAGCAAACGATGCTTTAGCTTGGTCGAGCTAAAAGAAACCTGACTGCTTCTTTCCAAATTTAATTGGCGCAATCTTCCCTTCTGTCTTTTTGTCTCCCCAACCACCCAAAATAAGGGTGAGTTTGAGAGTGCAAAGACTTGGGAGACTTCTGCATCTCATTTGTCACCATCAATCTCCTTTCCTTAATCTGTACGCACACATTCGTTTCAAAGTAGATGATATTCCTGTGCACAAATCCAAACAGTGATATTCCTGTGCACAATTAATAAATTGGACTAAAAAGCTTTAAATACCGTATTGGCCCGAATATAAGACGCACCTGCAAATAAGCCACACCTTTAAAATTTGGCGGCTTGGGGGTGGCTTGGGAGCCATGGACAGGATGGGCGCCATTGCCCCACACTCCCAGGCTGCTCTCGGGGGGGGGGGGGGACGGAGAGCTGCACCGCTTTGCCAGTGGCATAAGGTCATGAATATAAGCCGCACTTGAACTTTTCACTATCAGAATTTGGAAAAAAGTGTGGCTTATATTCGGGCCAATACGGTAAAAAATTTTTTTAAAAAAAGTTCCCAAGTTGTTTGGGGTGCAAATACTGTGAAATTAAACTGGCAAATTGCCTCAAGGAGCTACAAAAACCTCTTGGGGGACTATTGACTGCTGGAATATAAGGTATAAGATGATAGTGGGAATGCATGTGTTTTATTTAAAAATGCAACAATATGAAATTGAGCTTGCATACACTTTTACCAAAAGGAGTCGCTGGAAAGGTATCACCTCACCTGTAGGGGTGCCTGACGCATTAGATACCACGATGGAAGAAAAGTAGGATAGAGATGTCCGAAAGTAAGTGGCTCTCTAAACTCACCAGTGGGGTGTTTTTGTTTTCCCCGTAGATCATCCGCCGAGTCTTCAGAACCACTCCAGGCTCCGAACTCCCCCGCCTCCACTTTCCCACGCTCACACGCCAAACCAGCATCACGCAGCCTCCATCAACTCTCTCAATCGAGGGAACTTCACCCCGCGGAGCAATCCCAGCCCCGCTCCGACAGACCACTCCCTTTCTGGAGAGCAGCAAGCTGGGACGCAAGAGTCCACGCACGCTCAGGACAACTGGCTGCTGAACAGTAACATCCCCCTTGAGACCAGGTAAGTCATGTTCGGCTGGAGTGGTGTAAGCTGCTCTGTTTGTGCCAGGCATCTAGTCCTCATGAAGGTAGAGAAAAAGCTGAAAGTTATTTCTAGGGCACCTGGTGATGCGCCAGAGAAATGAATGGGGCTGACCGTAATCCGGAGATTTGGGCTTTGCACATGTATGTTCATTATCTCTATCCATGGATATATTTTATAGCGATGCCTCCAGCTGTCCTGACAGTATGAGGCCTGTTTCTCTGCCCTTCTGAAGCCCAACTTTTGAATCAACATTGCCCTAAGCTGGACCCTTTTTTCCACTTAGCCCAGAGCCAGCAGTGGCTCTCTCAGGTGTGAATCAGCGGCAATGAATACAATTTATACTAAACAGATCAATATTTGCAGATGGATTTCCTTTGCATGGCGCGTTCCGAGCATAACATTTGCATTTTCCTTAGCGCAGAATTTCGTTTTTGCCGGGGTGCTGAATGCAAACATTTTCCCCATCTGCTGCTTTCCCTCTTGTTGAGAGAAAGGGGTGGGTAGGCAGAGCTATCTGCCCGCTCCCTCCTATCTTCTCAAAGAGGACAGATTGTCTTCATTTTTGTTTGGCTTGCTCTACTGAGCGCTGAGTTGCCCCTCTGCTCTGCAGGAAGGTGTCGTGGGAAGCTTCGCTAACGCAGTGATAACTTCATGCCGTCGAGGTATTCGTAGTGAGTTCCATCACCTCTTTTTTCTAGGAAAATAGCACTGGAGCAGAGTATGTGTGGAATCAATCAGTCAATAGAACAGTCCAGCATTGTTTGTTCGGACTGGCAGCAATTTTCCAGCTTCTCTAGTATAATAATACAGTGGTACCTATGGTTGCGAAGGGGATCCGTTCTGGAGGCCCGTTCACAACATGAGCAGAATGCAACCCGCAGCGGCGTGTCTGCGCACCCACGGGTTGCAATTCGCTGCTTCTGCGCATGCGCGTTATGTCATTTTGCGTGTCTGCGCATGCACGAGTGGCGAAACCCGGAAGTAACCCTTTCCGGTACTTCTGGGTCGCCGCAGGACGCAACCTGAAAGAATGTATCATGAAGAAAACGTAACACAAGGTATGACTGCAATAATAATAATAATAATAATAATAATAATAATAATAATAATATATTTATACCCCATCCACTCTGGGCAGCTTCCAACAGAATATTAAAAACACGATAAAACATCAAACATTAAAAACTTCCCTAAACAGGGCTGCCTTCAGGTGTCTTCTAAAAGTCAGATAGTTGCTTGTTTCCTTGACATCTGGTGGGAGGGCGTTCCACAGGGTGGGCGGGCACCACTACTGAGAAGGCCCTCTGCCTGGTTTCCTGTAACTTGGCTTCACGCAGCGAGGGAACCGCCGGAAGGCCCTTGGAGCTGGACCTCAGTGTCCGGGCTGAACGACGGGGGTGGAGACGCTCCTTCAGGTATACAGGACCAAGGCCATTTAGGGCTTTCAAGGTCAGCACCAACACTTTGAATTGTGCTTGGAAACGTACTGGGAGCCAATGTCGGTCTTTCATGGGACTTTTTCATGCAGAGCACATCGTCTGCCACTGAGTTATGGCTCTTCCTTACTTTCAGTGGGGACTTAGTTTAGCTTTCGTTTCCTTTTTTTTTTAGTAGTAGTAGTATCTTCATAGCTTATTCCTGACGCATTTTTACTTGGACGAAGAGAAAGAGGAAATTGCCTCGCAGTCGTCTTTCACAGTTTGGAAATATCATCGGCATTAACCGTAGCTTGTAAGGCTATTTCCCCCATTTAAAACGGGAATGAGAAACATAAATTCAAAATGGGCTTACGTGTGCGTGCGTTCTTTTGTATAGCTTCGTCCCCCCGAAGCGGAATAAATCAATATCCTATTTAAGAAACTGGAATCAGTCAATATATTGAAAAGATTTAGCCTCCTAGCTGTGCCGATCGCAGCGAGTATAATTGTAGTCTACCGTGCAGGAGAACTCGATCTTGTTAAGACATAATGGGGGAGATGTCATCGGATGCGTTTTCCGCTGCCTAAAATATTGCTCCGGCAAGTCTGGAACCCTATAAAGCACCACATCAATCAATTAGCATCCTTCCCCATTAGTCTCTCCCTCCACCTCCCCGAGTTCCTTCGCCACATCTCTTTCCTTGCCTTCTGTCTTTGGATAATTGCATGTTACAGGTGAGTCTTTATTGCTCCTGAGAAACTCCCATCACTTTTTAAAGTGTTGTCAACCACAGGTTGTCAGAAACTGCTGCAAATGTACCCAGAGTCTATGGGCACATCTAATCGGATCTAATTTGAGGGCCCTGGTGTGTTGACTTAAGGGTTTCTGACTTCTTTCCTGCCCACCCCCACCACCATTTTGCCACTGAGCATTGCAATACTGCCATCTATCAGATTGGGCTATTTGTCCATCTAATTCAGTATTGTCTGCTCGGACCAGCAGTAGCTTTCCAAGATCTTAGACTGGGGCCTTTCTTATGCTAGAACACTAAAAACCCATCTATACCAAATGGAGCTGAGTGCTGGAAGGTTTGAGACAGACAAAAGAAATTGCTTCTTCGTGAAGCTGATAGGTAAACTGTGGAACTCTCTGCCACAAGAAGCAGTCTTGGCCACCGGCTTGGATGGCTTTAAAAGAGGATTAGACCAATGCATAGGGGGACAAGGCTAGACATGGCTACTAACCACATTGGCTGTGTTTTGCCTCCATTGTTAGAGTTCGGTCCTGAATACTAGTTGCTGGGAATAGCTGGTAGCAGTGCATTTTTTGCTCAGTCCTGCTTTCAGGCTCCTCACAGGCAGAATGCTCTTACGCTACATGATCTTCTCAACTGGAGATGCCAGGGACTTTGGGTCAATTCAGCAGGAAATTAGTTCCAGCCTTTCCTTGAAGCAAATTGTTTCCTTGGAACTGTCCGTGGTGCTGAAACTGCTGCCTGACCAAACTACTGTCGGGCATCTCACATTTCTTGGATTATCAGTCTCTGTCACAACGGGCATATATAATAATATAAACCCCGCCCATCTGGCTGGGTCTCCCAGGCACCCTGGGCAGCTTCCAACAGGAGATTAAAAATACATTAAAACACCAGCCATTAAAAAACTTCCCTAAACATGGCTTCCTTCAGATGTCTTCTAAACGTCAGATAGTTGTTTATTCCTTGGACATCTGATGGGAGGGCATGGGGTGAAGCCACTACCGAGAAGGCCCTCTACCTGGTTTCCTGTAACTTTGCTTCTCGCAGTGAGGGAACTGCCAGAAGGCCCTCAGAGCTGGATCTCAGTGTCCGGGCGGAACGATGGGGGTGGAGACACTCCTTCAGATATACTGGGCAGAGGCTGTTTAGTGCTTTAAAGGTTAGCACCAACCCTTTGAATTGTGCTCAGAAACATACTGGGAGCTGATGTAGGTCTTTCAAGACCGGTGTTATGTGGTCTTGGCGGCCACTCCCAGTCACCAGTCTAGCTGCTGCATTCTGGATTACAGTCATACCTCATGTTACGGACGCTTCAGGTTACGTCTTTTCAGGTTGCATCCCACGGCGACCCGGAAGTACCGGAAAGGGTTACTTCCGGGTTTCGCTGCTCACGCATGCACAGAAGCGCAAAATCATGCTTTGCGCATGCGCACAAGCACCAAATCGCGCCACGCACCTGCGCAGATACGGCGCTTCAGGTTGCACTCTTTTCAGGTTGCGAATGGGCCTCTGGAACGGATCCCGTTTGCAACCAGAGGTACCACTGTAGTTGTAGTTTCCAGGTCACCTTACTCCCCTGAAGACATGGTGAGGGTTGCAAAATACAGCAACTCATCAGTCTGGCTGCTGCTAGGTGTTCAGTGACTGCACTGTTTTGTGGATTTGACCTGTGGGATGCTTCTCAGGAACAGGGAAGGCGATTAAGACCCTCCCTCCTGTAGAGTGTTCTTACCTTTGTTCAAAGGCACACATGCAACACTTTTCAAACTTGAACCACACATGCAGTAGGAAAGAGGCAGAAATGGGGCAGGACTTAGGGGTGGCCTGCAGTGTTCAGTTGCCTTGTGTCCCATTTCCCTTTCTTCTCTGCTATATCTTGTAGCATGAGGGGACTTGATGGAGGTGTATAACATTTTGTGAGGCGCGAATAAAGTTGAATAAAGGGTTTCTCTCCCTCTCATTACCGGAACACGGGAAATCCAGTGAAACCGAATGTTGGAAGATACAAGGCAGGGGAAGAAAATACACACATCGCAGAGTTAAAGCCACTCCCACAATCAGTAATGATGGCCACCAACTTGGAGGGATTTGAAAGATTAGACAGATTCATGGAAGATAAGGCTGATCATAAGGCAGCCCTGTTTAGGGAAGCTTTTAATGTTTAATAGGGTATTGTATTTTAGTGTTCTGTTGGAAGCCACCCAGAGTAGCTGGGGAAACCCAACCAGATGGGTGGGGTATAAATAATAAATTATTATTATTATTATTAGTATTATTATTATTATTATTATTATCCTCATCATAGCTACTAGCTACAATGGCTATGTTCAGAGATCTATCTATCACTTGCGGACAATCGCAAGTGGGGAGGTTGCTACTATGGCACCCGGTTCCTGCTTACAGACTTCCCAGGTTGGCTACTGTGAGACAAAGATTCTGGACTAGGTGGGCCATTGGCTTGAACAGCCAGGTGCTTCCTCCATTCTGAGTAATGACTTCACACCATTCTTCCATATTACGTGGAAGACTGGAGCGAGCTGAGTTGGGTCCCTGTTTCAGCATTGTTCCTTATGAAGTCTAGCTGCTTGCTCCCTCAAGGCTTTTTAAAAGGCATGAATACAAAGAATATCACCCCCCAAAAGACTTAGGAACATGTCCGAATTTCAAAACTAAAGCCATCGTTCTCTGCAGCTTTCTTCTCTCCTTCCTATTTGATTCCCCCCCCCTCATCTTGGCTCAGAGGGCTGCCTCCTGCCCCCCTCCTCCGCTAAGCCCCTTCCTTCTTCTATTTTGTTATTGACGCTTGCATTAAACATTATACAACCCAACATCCTGCCTAGTGTTATATTGGCAATCTCCCGCTGAAACGTACAGTTCCATTGTAGAAACCCATTTTTACACAGAGGCTTTTAACTACTGATAAATTCATATTTATATCCTCGCTGCTACCCTTCTTGATGGTGCATCCATCAAAAGCACTCTTTTTTTTTTTTTACTGCCTTCTTCTTGGCATACAACTTCTGAATACGCCGTGCTTGGTTTTTAACGGTTTGCGAACTGGCGTTTCGGCTCACACAGCTCGATCCTCTACACCTCAAAGCTATAAACATGAATTGTGTTTCTCTTCTTGGGATCAGGAAGCGGCCAAAGACTCGCCTTCCCAGCAAAGGCTGGCGAGAGTGGGGGAAATGAAAAGAAACCATTGCCCCTCACCTCTGCCAAGGGAAAGTGGGATTCCCACCCCCAAAATGAGAGCACTTTATAGAGCAAAAGTGGGGAACCTGAGACTCTTCAGATGTTGCTAGACTCCCTAATGCCATCACTTCCTGCCCCCATGGCCAGTAGCCAGGGGTGATGGGGCCTGGGGTCCCGCAATATGCAAGGCAGCAAATTAAGTTTGGTTCCAGCCCTCATAACACCTGACAACGCAATGCTCTGTGAAAGGGATGGGGCACCTGTGGCCTTCCCATCAGCCCCAGGAATTTATTTTATTTATTGAATTTATTTGTTGTTTAGTTGTTTAGTCGTGTCCGACTCTTCGTGACCCCATTAACCAGAGCATGCCAGGCACTCCTGTCTTCCACTGCCTCCCACAGCTTGATCAAACTCATGCTGGTAGCTTCAAGAGCACTATCCAACCATCTCGTCCTCTGTCGTCCCCTTCTCCTTGTGCCCTCCATCTTTCCCAACATCAGGGTCTTTTCCAGGGAGTCTTCTCTTCTCATGAGGTAGCCAAAGTATTGGAGCCTCGGCTTCAGGATCTGTCCTTCCAGTGAGCACTCAGGGTTGATTTCCTTAAGAATGGATAGGCTTGATCTTCTTGCAGTCCATGGGACTCTCAAGAGTCTCCTCCGGCACCATAATTCAAAAGCATCCATTCTTCGGCGATCAGCCTTCTTTATGGTCCAGCTCTCACTTCCTTACATCACTACTGGGAAAACCATAGCTTTAACTAGATGGACCTTTGTTGGCAAGGTGATGTCTCTGCTTTTTAAGATGTAAATCCAAGCCAGTAGGTTTTGGTAAAGCTGGAAAGGAAGAGCCTACAAGGCTGAAAGCATCACAGAAACTTTCATATAATAACAAAAATAATTTATTATTTATACCCTGCCCATCTGGCTGGGTTTCCCTAGCCATCCAGGCAGCTTATTTCAAGATAGGAAGGCTGTCCTCTAATGTTAGGGCATTCATAGTAAACTACTGCTGTCAGGAATCTCCTCCGCTCCAGCCTCATTTGCATATCAAGGTATGATCACCCTGTTTACATGGTCGCTTATTCTTGGATGAAATAAGGGTTGACTCAAGAGCTCCTGACCTCGCCGGGAGTGACCTTTGTTGACTTGTTTTCAATTGGCTCCAGTGTCTGATTCAGCTTTTGAATTTTAACCAAACCAGAGGTTGACGTGAGTTCAAGGGTGCTTATTCAGGGGATGTGTACAGGGCATAATTATGTTGTCTGCCTGTTTTCCTGGATAAAATGAATTGGTACTGATGTGTCTCAGGCTATATACATTCGGAGTGAAAAAACGAGACACAGAATTGTAACTCTTGAATGTTTCTTGAACTATGCGTTCCAGCAATACAAGGTAAGGATATTTGGCGGGGGGGCGGGGGGCTTGTCTTAGGCGTTAACAATTCTCCTTGCAGCGGCAACGTGAAATGTAACCCAAAAGAAGAAAGAGAATGAGATTCAGTCTGATTGAATTCTTATCTGCGGATCGGCAAGAATAGGGTTTCTCTAGAAAGATTATTGACTGACTGGCGTAGTCTGTCTTCTTGCCGGAGCACCCACAGAGCCAGACTCATTACTAGGGACGCTTGCTGCGCGAAATTAAGACGTCCAGTGGATTAGATAGATTCATGCACGATGGGTTTGGACAGCTGCGTTGGCAGCAAAGCCATGAAATGTGAACATAGGCACCAAACAATGTTTTGTGCTCACAGATCTGTGTGTATATGTGTGTGTGTAGATATAGCTACCAATTGCATTGGATGTCTGAAATCTGATGGATGTCGTCATTTACCTGTGACCGTTGGCAATCCCAGATGAATTCTGCGAATGTCTGAAAACTCAAAAGAGGATAACGCGGCTGAGTGTTCCTATCACCCGAGTGTGATGGTTGCCATTCACCGACAAAAGGAATTTTCACACATTCCCAAAGTTCGTGCCGGGTCGCCGGCCTTGAGACGTGAATGCGAACATTCAGCAAACGTTAAGATATCCGTGGCAATACACACACGTATATATTCTTGTGTGTGTGCATACATAGAGTAGATATGTGTATATATGGAAGTGAACATTCACAAATGCTATATATGTATATGTTGTAACATGCTATACATATCAATGAGTGGCCCATCATTCTAATCCCATGCACAGCTGCACTTATAACCATTTGTGGGTTTATGAGGTCACACTTCATAGATGCATGTCTCACTTGGCTTCATTCATGTTTCCATATGTATGTAGAAACATAGCAAAGCAGACATTCCTAGAGACTTTGCAGGACAACCTCATTGAGATGGACATTCTCACCTCCTCCCGACATGACGGTGCTTTCAATGATGGGTACGTTGACGCTTCATGTGGTCTTTGCTCTCTTAATATTGCAACCATTCCCCCGTCCTTTGCATGACAAATTAATCTGTCATATTATTATTTCCCCTCTCACTTTCTTGTCTCATGTAATCTATCCCCCCCCACCCTATTTTCCTCTCTTCCCCCACCTCCTTTCCCCCGCCCAAAAAAAGTCGTAATCAGAACAATGAGGTTCATGACAGTAGGGAACGCAAATCGTCCTGCACATATTAATGGCAGCCTCGTTAATATGCCAATCCATAGCATCTCATTGGCTTCCTCCTGACACCTTGAAAGCCATTTCATTAACACAGAGGCAGCTGTAGCGGGATAGCAGGTCTTCTAAGACATGTCACTGTGTTTTGCTTCGTGCTTTGTTTGAGATGGTTTAAATGTCCTAATCCGATGTTTTCCAGGTTTCACGTCTGAACTTTTTTGGGGGTGGGTGAGTGTCTTTGTGTCTATTTGACAACAGCGGATGTTTGCTTCGGCGGCACTTTTCCCACGTGTCCACCATTTTAATTGGAGAAGTTGGCATGTGTTTCAGGGAATCGTGGAACTGGCAACATTTTCTTTCCCTAAAGAGTTGGTGGTTGTGTCTCAGTAAGAGCCAGTGGGACCGCATCCAACAAAGTCTTTGCACTCGTGGAACAACTTCCACTCATGCAAACAAATTTTGCTCCATCTCCTCTTCTTGCACACCCCTGCACCCCCTTCCAAGTTTGTTTGGGGGTGGGATGGGTGGACCCAGAGAATATTTGGAGGGTGGGCATGCAGGGAGAAAGCCTGTAGGTTCCATTGCCTGAGCACAAGTCATTCTGCAAGTGGAATGCAGCCTGTTCTTTTTTAAAAGAGAAAAATACTGATCAGTGCAATCGATCAGGATAGTTTTAACCCCCAGCTGCTTATTCTGTACCTGGTCTCAGGGCTGTGGTCCTGGAGGCAACTTCCCCAAAAGCAAGTCTAGGGCTGGTCAGTACATGGATAGGTGAGCTGCCTATGAAAACCTTATGTATGCCATCTGGGCCTTCACAGAAGAACGGGAGAATGTCAATGATGTAAATAAAGCTTGTCATTTTGGACCACATACCAGTGATCCATCTTAGAGCAGGTTTTCTCAACCTTGGGTCCCTAGGTTTTGTTGGACTTCAGCTACCACCTTTCCTAGCCAACATGGCCAGTGGTCAAGGATGATGGGAATTGTTGTTGTTGATGATGATGATTGAATTTGAATACCGCCCTTCATCCGAAGATCACAGGGCAGCGCACCAAATGAGAACACAAAATACATAATAAAAACAAGGGAAAGAACATGCATAACACAAAAACCAACAAACGAATAACTCCCCTCCCACAAACACAGTTAAAAGGACATAGATTGTTTAATCAGCCCAAGGCCTGGTTATAAAGGAACACTTTCACCTAAAGGTGTATAATGAAAGCACCAGGCGAGCTTCCCTGGGGAGAGCATTCCACAGACGGGGAGCCACTGCAGAAAAGGCCCCGTTCTCATGTTGCCACCCTCTGGACCTCTCATGGAGGAGGCACACAAAGAAGGACCTCAGATGGTCCTGGTTGGTTCATACGAGTTGTGGTTCAAGAACATCTGGGGACCCAGTGTTGAGAAAGGCTGATCTAGAATATTCAGGGTTGGCCAACCAAGGTGCCTTAGGAAGAGGTTCAGCAAGCAAATCATGGTGGTGACCAGAAAGTCGTGTGAATGGAGCACAGGATGAGGCACTTGCAGGGGAGACTTGGCATCAGACAGGCTTAACCTCACTCATGTTGACTGGCTCTCAGTGGTGTAAGTCCACTGATTTCTCTCCTGCAAACACGCCCCTCTCTCATCTCCACTCGGAGGGTAACACTAGGCTGGGAACCCCCCTTTGCTTCTTGCAATGTGGAGTTGTACCCTTAGACCTGCACATCCTGCCATTATTGCTGCTGCTTCCTTCCGTTTTGATGAGAGAACATCTCCCAGTGCTTTGGGTGGTGCCCTTCTCTTTACGGAGAGAGTACAAGATGTGAAGATCCGCCACAGGGGCGCCGAAAGACCACCGCTGACCAAAATCTCAACACTTGTCACAAAATGGCAGTGGCACAAATGTAACACGCACCGTCCTTCACTCTGCGCAGTGTAGTAGATGACATTTGGGGACACACTCACACAACTAGCGAAGGCTGGTCTATTTACAACCAGTCAGGAGAGTGGATAATAATAATAATAGTAATAATAATAATTAATAATAATAATATATTATTTATACCCTGCCCATCTGGCTGCGGCTTCCAACAGAATATTAAAATACAATAACCTATTGAACATTAAAAGCTTCCCTAAACAGGGCTGCCTTCAGATGTCTTCTAAAAGTCTGGTAGTTGTTCTTCTCTTTGACATCTGCTGGGAGGGCGTTCCACAGGGCAGGTGCCACTACCAAGAAGGCCCTCTGCCTGGTTCCCTGTAACTTGGCTTCTCGCAGCAAGGGAACCGCCAGAAGGCCCTTGGAGCTGGACCTCACTGGACCTGGATCTGTGTGCCATTAACTCTTGGATCCACTTCTCTTGGTCTCCCTGAGTTCTGCACATTGGACACCTGTTACCGCTGTATACAACCAATGTAATTTGGCTTTCTGATGGAGACATGAATGAGTAGCTTCAGTGTTTTTTAACGGGCTTACTTTTTTAATTTCAGTGGACGCATTTCATTTCTTTCTTTCTTTCTTTCTTTCTTTCTTTCTTTCTTTCTTTCTTTCTTTCTTCTTCATGCCTGTTTTTTTACAAAGCCTTTGTCCTCGATGCATGGCACTGTTTTTATGTGTGTGTGCGTGTGTTTAGCCAAGTGCTGCTAAGTTTAAAATCCTCCTTGCGCCTCAATCACTTGCAACCTCTCTCTTTCTCTCCCCACAGGCACTTCCTCTTCAAGCCGGGAGGAACCTCTCCCCTCTTTTGTACAACGTCTCCGGGATACCCCTTGACGTCCAGCACTGTGTACTCGCCTCCCCCTCGCCCTCTTCCCAGAAGTACATTTTCTAGGCCGGCCTTTAACCTGAAGAAACCCTATAAGTACTGTACGTGGAAATGCGCTGCCTTGAGTGCTATCATCATCTCGGTCACGCTGGTGATACTCCTGGCTTATTTTATCGGTAAGCTTTCCCTTCCTTTCTGGGGCCTTTCTTTCTCCTTCGACCCTGTGAAAACGTCAGTGTTGTTTTGCTGTTTTTGTTGGGTGGTTCTGCTCCTTTGGCCGAGTTGTCCAGAGAGAACCTCTGCCTGCGCCTACTGTGCGCTGCCTGTAACAAGTTTGATTTCTCCACTGGGGGGGAAGATGAAGGAATTTGCTGGACAGATCTACCCCCAACCTCTCCAAACAGCTGTGTAAAAGACCCAAATACATCTAGGGACTCTTCCAGTAGACGTCTAGAACATCAGGAGGATAGCTTCAAAAAGTTGCTTGGGTTTTAAACCAGGGTTTCCCATATTTGGGTCTCCACCTGTTTTGGGACTACAATTCCCATCATCACTGACTAGTGGTCCTGCTAGCTAAGGATGATGAGAGGCGTAGTCCAAAAACAGCTGGAGACCCAAGTTTGGGAAACCTTGCTTTAAACTGTTGTGCCATATGCTACAGGTACCGTATTTTTCACTCCATAAGACGCACCTGACCATAAGACGCACCTAGTTTTTAGAGGAGGAAAACAAGAAAAAAAATATTCTGAATGAAACTGTGGATGTATGATTTTTGTGGTTCATGCTGTGGCCACAGACATGTGATCTGATGGTGAATTTGGGGTGACCCAATGCAAAAATCCTGAGGATCCATGTGGACCCGTGCTTTGTAACCATGTTTTTGCGCTATTGCGGCCCCACGCAACAGTGGGTGCGTGATTTTTTGGGTGCAGGCTGTAGCCATGGACATGCTATGTGATCTGATGGTGAATTTGGGGTGGCCCAATGCAAAAATCCTGAGGATCCATGGGCTTTTACCTCCCCCCTCCCAGGCAGCCTCCTTTATCGCTAGCGCCCCTTATCTCCCTCCCAATCCCTTACTGATCAGCTGCTTCCTTTCAATTCTCCCTTCCCTCTTGTTTGCCTTAGTGTCTTTTCCTTAGCTGGAGCAGTTTTTTACTCCTCCTTTTCTTCTAATTTTTCTCCTTGTTGATTTAGTCTTCCTGTCTCCTCTCCTTGCAAGTTTGCTGTCTTTACCTCCCCACTCCCAGGTAGCCTCCTTTATTGCTAGCATCCCTTATTTCGTTCTCAATCGCTTGCAGATCAGTGGCTTTGTTTCAACACCCACTTCCCCCTTTCAAAAAAAAAGCACGATCTGCTTTTTGCCCCTGGGCCCCTGGGCCCATGCATTCGCTCCATAAGACACACAGACATTTCCCCTTACTTTTTAGGAAGTGCGTCATGGAGCGAAAAATACGGTAAAGGCATATTCTGCTCTTAGAGAAACGGAGACATCCACAAATACCTAGAGGGCAAGCAGTAAATAACAGCTCACTTGGAGTGGCGGCATGTGGTTACTTCCTTTTGGGTGATTTCTGAATTTTGACAGGGAAACATCTTGTGGGAAGGGAGGGGGCAGGTTAGTAGAAGAGTCAGCCTGCCCCCAGAGCACCCCAGTACTCAACTTAACCTTGAGATTAGTACCCATTCTTGATTTCTTTGTTTCCACCCTCTTCCCTGATAAATTAGGTGAATGGAGCTGCAAAAAGGGTGGTGGTGGTTGGAAGAGCAGTTTTCAGGTTTACCCATCTATGAAGTCTGCGTAATTTGGGGCAAAACATTCCAGATACAAAACATTCCAGATAGGGACACAGGTGGCATTGTGGGTTAAACCACAGAGCCTAGGACTTGCTGATCAGAAGGTCGGTGGTTCGAATCCCCGCAACGGGGTGAGCTCCCGTTGCTCAGTCCGTGCTCCTGCCAACCTAGCAGTTCAAAAGCACGTCAAAGTGCAAGTAGATAAATAGGTACCGCTCCGGTGAGAA